CTCTTAATATTAAGTTTATTTGAATTTTGAAATGATTAATTTTCTGTTAATAGATTAATAATATATTATTTTGATTTTAATGTTGTTAATTTTTATTTATTTAAAATTATTAATTATATTATATATTTTTATATTTTAGCGCCTCGCTTCGCTCGGGCGAGCGCCTAGCGCCTCGGGCGTTTGTGGACCTTGGCGCCTTTTGGCGCCTAGCGCTTTTTAAATCACTGCTGTACAGTATATGCATTACTCCTATCTTGTCATGGTCTAAAATTAGCCATTAGATCATACATACAAGTATATTTCTCATAAAGATGGATCCTGACCTTTAGAAATCTGTGTGAAGAGCACAATCGTTTTCTTTTCCCTCGATATGTTACAGCCAAATTGACTCAAATTGGTATCATGACTGTGGCCTTATTAATTAATCCAAATAGAGCACAAAAACTAGTCCACCCCACTATTTTCCAGATCTGCTGGTGAATTTTTTTCAAGACTGGAGACATTCAGATTAGAACTTCGGTCACCCTAGACCCTCAATGAATTGACAGTGTGTGGATATGAAACCTTTTGGTTGGTACTTTGGTAAGAAAATATAGAGCTTTCAATATCTTTTTATTGCTTTTAGCAGTCTTCTTAGGCCTTACACTCTCTCTCTTTACATGAATAATGTTAACCGACTGGCATTATCCAATCATATCTATAAGTCTCCTTTGAATATGTCCATACCTACCGTCTTGGATGATCTCCTGTCATTTTATTTTCTATCAGAGCAACAAACTTTTTCATAAATTGTTCTCTGCTTGTTAATATTTCGTTACAAGGCTACTGGTTTCTCAAATACAGGGTCATTGGACGTAGAATCAGGCATGCGGCAAAAAAAAAGTGATAAAGACTACAAAAAGCTCAGGAGAGCTTTATGCAGAGGCTACGGAAATCAGTTGGCCGAACGGATGCTGCTTCACAATGGCTATCATACACTTGGTTACAGGTCGCAACTTGTGCAGGTATTTGTGACTTATCCTACACTAAAATCAAGATTTTCCTAATTTACACCAGTCAAATGGTAACATACCATGTGGATTTTTTTTTTTGCACACAATGCGGAACTTAATATATACTTCTGCTATAGTTTTTAGTTCTCTGATGATGATCAAATAATAATTCTATGGCTTGTCTACTTTGCATGGTTCGAATATCCTCATTTCCAAAACTTATCATGTAATGTAGACCCTGAAAACAGATTACTCTTAATGTAGATTAAACTTAATAGCAAATTCTCCGACTATTTTCTCATATAATTGCATTTAAATTTGTTCTATGTTTGTGATTTATATAGGTCTGGACTTTCTTGTGCTACCTTCCATTCATATTTTGTCTAACCCTTATTTTATTCACAATCAAGTATTTCCATATGACATGCATCATAAGTGACTATTATACCATTGCATCTGTAATCAATGTAAGAAGATTTCATACAACATGCCACTTGGCAAGATTAATTTTCAGTGGAAAATTCAAGTATCTAAACATAATTTATAATAATTTCTAAGTACATCAATGAGTTTTATATCTGAAACTTTTTTTCAACTTGTGATTGAGTGACAGACCTTTCTGGTCTGTAGATTAAATTCTAGTTAAATGTTAAATCTTTTATTATGATAAAAACAATTCACTATGACTTTAGTTGAAAGATGATAAAAACAATTAACCTGAGCAAAAGAATTTTCTTTTCGTTATAGTTGTGCTGTACTAAATAACTAAATATATGAACAAATAACACACTGAAAAGGAAACTGAGATGTGGAAGCTTAATGTTCAGTGACAGAAGATAGAAGGATTTGCAGCTTAGATGTTTAACTGCATATTTGCTTTCTCTATTCTTGGGATAGTTCCATGTAGTTTCTAGGTCAATAGTTTGTGGACAATATAGTCAGAGAAAATGGCAATACAAATTAGGTTGTTCATGTCATCAGCAAAATCCTCTTTTGATTTTATGGAATTATGCTTAAAATTTGTATACATCAGGGGCACTGTTTAGGTCAGAATTATCTTGTGCCCACTTCTTGCCTTTTGGCCTTGCCAAATCACTAATAATTAATTTTGTCCTATAACATCTTTGTGGTGATGATTTGCTGAAGCCATTCATTTCAGGTTCATCCATCCTCGGTGCTAGAAGCTGATGAAGATGGACAGTTGCCAGATTATGTTGTTTACCATGAACTCATAAATACCTCTCGGCCTTTTATGAGAAACGTATGTGCAGTTGAAATTTCATGGGTCCAACCAATCTCAAAGAAACTGGAGAAGATGAACATTGACAAGCTGAGGTAATCCACTTGACCAGGAGAAATTTTCAGAAGTCCTTACCATATAATTCCTCTTCATGTGCCATGGAACTGTTTGCTGTTTGCTTTCAAATTTTTATTTAAAAATTACCGAAATTAATATTTCTAGATTTTAATAAATTTCTAACTTTACAGTGGTGGCTCTGGTGCTTCAGAAAATAATGAGACCATCGAGAACAAAACGATAAATTCACCTTTGCAAGCGGTAGATGCCAGTGGTCCACCTGGTTCCATGGATAGTAAAATTCAGGCAGCCCGTGAACGATATCTTGCTAGAAAGGCAAATAGATAGATGTTCCAGGGCGATCTTCGCTAAAAGATATCTGTATAAGTCTTATCAGCAAAGGTGATCATAAAGGTTTCTCTTGTTTGTTCCATTCTCCTATGCCTGTTATGTAGAATTCTCTGCTGCTAAGTTGGGATGTGATTCAAAAGGGTCGAGAGGAACCTTCCAAGTACTAATAATTAATGACATATTGCATTAAGCCTTAGTCTGCTTTGATGTTTGCCAATGGTCATCTCTGAATCATGTCCCTTGTTGCTTCTTTTTACATGAATAAAAACATTCAGTTTTTTTTTCCTTGATTCTTATTTCAATCTTTATAATCATATATTGAATAATGATTTATGTGTTCTTGTCTTCTATGATAGGTTATGCCATTATGCTGGGAAACCCTCAAGAGAAGTTGCCTCCCAGGCTCACAAGGCTCTTTCATGAACATTACTATGATGACCCTAAGAATCAGTCAGATAATTTTCCTTTATATATATATATATATATACAGAAGGGGAGCTTCAAACTAACCTATCATTCTCATATTGACTGGAAACATTGACATAGATTATTTCTCAGTGCAGTGCTCCTTACAAAGTTTTCCCCAGCAAATCGAACTGTTTTTTTCTTTTTGTACCATTATTTTCTATGATTCCGAAAAGTTGCTGCAATCTTTGGAGGATTGCCTGTTGAAGATGATCGGTATGAACCCCTTCCACTGCTATCCTAATTGAATTCAAGTTGGTGTTCGGTTTAAACAGTAGAGTATTATGTCCCTTGGGATTCTTGCGAGTTCATTAATGTGGTAATAGTTCTTCCTGTAGTGAAAAGTGTTTCTGTTCGAGGTTTCAGTTTGTTGAATAGAAAAAAAAAAAAGTCTTCATATCTATTCTTCCAAAGATTGTAAATGGTATTTTTGCCCTCCAAATTTTTATAAAGAACATCTATATAATCCCTCCAAATAGTTTGATCTTTAAGTATATATATGGATCCCTTTCTTGTATTCGAATCCTCCCTCTAAATGTACATCCATCTCACTCATGAAATAAAATTAATCATTCTTAATCATTGTTGCTGATGAGTTCTTAAAACTTATTAATGTGCGATTTCACATGAAAAGAGAAAACCCGCCGGATTAATCTGATTTAGTTTAGCATCGGCATTCGTCGTGTTCTGATTCAACTGTTCTGGTAATCATCGTATTAATCCTAAATCAGTCATAAATGGTGCAGTAATCAGTTACTCTTCCGTCATCTGTTGAATCCCACCACAATTGTTCGTCCTCCGTAAAGATAGATGTGCAATTTGGACATTAGTCTGTAGATGACTCACCAATTCATCCGATTCGTGTCATCGAAAATTCGAAATAGTTATTTCTCGAATAATCGTGACATCATTTGTTCTTCAAAATGTGATCGCCAAACAAAAGTATTCCATAATCGCTCAAAAAATTCAGAAAGTTGTAACCGTGAGGATTTAAAAATAAAAAAAATAAAAAATGTTTGGCACTCTTATTAAATAAATAATCCCTCTCATTAAAAGGAGGGGAAAAAGGAAAAAAAAAGCATTAAAATACAAAATAGAGGGCATTCACTATTCATCACCGACCATCGAAGCCACAAAGAAGCACAAGATTTACAAAAGAATATCATAGGTTACATTATTCCTGAAGAAAACAGGAAAACAACAACATCATCAAACACCACCCTACCAAGAAAAAAGGTAGCAGCTTGCCACAAACCCTCTGATTCCTGATGCCAAGGAGACGCTTATCTTTTACAAGAATCTGTGGGGTGTTCTTAACACTCCTAAAGAAAAAAATATAAACACCTCATTCTCCAAAAAAAGAATATAGAAACTTATGCTAGGGCTATAATGCCAGGAATCCGATGAATAATGCAGCTTTAACATGGACTACATCACTGTGCAGTTGCACTTGGACTCCAACTTTGGGGGCTTCACACTCTCACCTGTGTGTAAAGCCTCAGCGTTGCAAGATGCCAACTCCGAGTTCTTGACATTGTCTCTCACCTCCACACTTGGCATCTCGTTGGCGGCTGCCAATTTTTTTCGATTAATCTTTCGTGACCTGTGATTGTTTTTGGTGGCCATCTTTTGCAGATCCTTCTTATTGGAAACGGAATTTCCCATAAATGTAACTGCCCGATAAGAAGACTCGTATAGAGCCGACTCCTTTTCCATCGCAATTGTTGCAGCTTTGTGAGCCACATCATGGACGATAGAACTGCAGAATAGTATGGTATCTGTTGCTTCTTCCAGAGTAAAACTTCTTTGCACAATTTTCCTTGGAGCTTCGACCGTTATGATTGGTTCTTCTGTGAGAGTCGATGGTCAGTAACAAATAAAGTTTTTACTTATAAATACAAAAAGTAAAGACTAATTTATTTGTCTATAAAAGTTTATTATAAACGGACAAATAATAACTTAAATGACATACCACTAGAAGGGTCCTCAGCAATTTTAGGTTCCACTTCAGAAATCAGCACATCCTTGTCTGATGTGGAAATGGAATCTTCTTGGAAATCCTCCACAGAGTTTGGCATTTGAGATGTACAATCATCATGTAAATCCTGGAAACCGACCATATCATTTTGCTCGTCTAATGTCGCAACAGATGAGCAATGTGTTGCGATGTCAGCAACATCATCTTGACAGCCAGTAGCGCTCGGCGTATGATTGCCTTCAATGGAAGATGAATCTGGGGTGGCAATTGGTGCCTCTACTTCTGGACTCCTCTCGCTGTTACCGGAAAGTACTTCTTTAGCATGTTCACTAGAGTCACTGCTCTCAACTATATCATCACACATTTGAAGACTAATATGCTGACTTGATTGTGATGGCAAGACACGTGTTGCCAAAGATGTATCATCATTGCCGGACACATTTATGCCTACAACAGCTTGCTCGGTGGATGTATGCTTCATCACATTCAAATCTGTATCTCCAAAAGATCTCTCTGGATTTTGAGCATCCGATAGTATCTTTTCTACGGCATCACTCTCAACAGCTCCAATAATACTACAAGAAACTTCTTCAGCTTCGATTTGGGAATGGACCAGTGTTTCTATGGCAATACTTGAAGTTTTCGAATGTGGACCACAGCCCTGGGTGCCAGTATGACTTTCACCTCTCGCATCCTGTGTCTCACGCTTTGTGCTGCTTAATTGGCGTAGAATGTGGCCATCTGTTTGTCCACGTGATCCCATATCAAGAGAGGAAGAAGCAGAAGAACTATCCCTTCCAAGGCTATGCTTCATGACATTGATATTATCTCTTCCATGAGAAGACTCAGCGAGAAATATATTTGCAGCAGAAAAGGCCTTCCCTTGCACGACAGGCCACTTTCTGCTGCTTGACTTGTTCATCAAAACAACTGCTATGCCTGTGCTTTCAGAATTGTCAACCTGGTCAATTTGACTGGGAGTTGGCTGTGATTGTTGAGATTCATAGTTGCTACTAGATTCTGGAGCATACAATTCAGCTGGTATAAGGACTTCCTGTTCAGAAAGGTTTTCATCCCTCTTATCATTCGCCAACAGAAATAATCCACTGTCCACAGAGATATGAGTTACTTCTTCACTGCTTTGCTCATGTTGGCAAGGCTCAATGCCAGTTCTAATCTCAGTCAGTTCAGGTATTTCTATTTGGGGTTGCACCTTGGGGTCCATTGTGTCATTTCTATCACCCTGGTTTCCAACTCGTATAGTCCGAGGTTCTTCTGAACCAATCGATCCATATGTTCCAGAACATTCTTCACAAACATCCACATCTATATCTGTGACCACGAAGTGTCTATCACATTTCAAGCAAATACTCATTGTTTCATTAGAATCAATCTTGGAACATTCAGCACCATGTGAACCTCGACAAGCAACTGCCGTATTTAGTGAATCACTATCATTGCCTGAAGAATGGTCCAACTTGGTGTTAATTTTATTGGGCACACTTGAATCAGAAATCTCATTACCACTTTGAAGTTTTGCAGAACAAGTGTCATTGCCAATGTGTTCACTTATCTCATCTAAGATAAACACTTCCTCCTGGAATGAAGGATCTTGTGTCTTCTCCAATTCACCAGTAAGAACGCTCCGGTCATGGTCATTGTCCTCCAAATCAGGGACAACGCTGGCACCATGTTCAGAGCTTGTATTGCTGCTAGTTGTAAGTGAAGAATACCGAGAGAACATAGGTCTATGCACATTGGTTGTTTTCCCAACATAAAACGTGCTGGCAGGAACACTCGATAACAATGGCCTGAACATGTCTTGAGGAGTTTTATGATGATCCTACAGATTATTAGAATAAATAGAAACTTCAGTAAGTGCAAAGAGTATGGTTGACAGAAGAATCAACACCAAGTGAATATAACGAAGTAGTTGTAATTCTCATCAAGTTAAGACAAACAAGCAAACATCGAGAAGATATTAAGTAATGTACCAAGCTTTCAAAAGTTCATAAGCAATCAAAACATATGATAATTTCCATTTCTTGAAATAGATAAACGTGCATTAGCGGACACCTCTTTAGCTTCATGTTTAGATATCATTAAAAAACAAGAATACAATTCATGCAAGGTTGCTATCTATGCAATTGCTGGACAAGCTTTACACACAGGGAGATTGTGTAAGAATTTCAGTAGAGGAAAAGCATTAGAATAATCAGCTAAATGGAAAATATATTAATAAAATTCGGAATGCTAAATAAGAATGTTGAGACAGATTTCATCCTGATAAATTGGTTTTAGCTTATGTGGAATGTGACTAATTCTCATAAAACTACTCCAGATTACTTGGTAAGTGAAGACTGTTAATTTTAAGAAGCATAATAATATTTTAAATATCTCATTGATGAATGTTCAATATAATTCCTAGTAACTGCCATATGGGTTATTACGGAAATTATCTGATGGTGCGACAGCTCATGCGTAAATCATTCACAGGCAAACTGTTCATATGATAGTAAGTAGAAAATGCAAATCAGCAATTGTATATTCTGTTTGTCATCAGATCCATAAATTCTTGTAGCTTGCATCCTGAAGAGAATTTCAGTTCCTCGCATCATGAATTCTTCAGTTTTTGTCTGTTCTCTTCCAAGATCTGGAGGTCCCTAAGGTTGGCAACATAAACACAGAGGACGTTCTAGAAATTATGATTATGGTTAAGAACCTGTTAAGTAAGAATAATAAGGTACAATACCACAAGGGTAAAAATTTAGCTATTGTTTTGCAACTATAGCAGCAACTTATGATTAAAAAGATAATCGCCCGATACAGAGCAATTGACGAACAAATTTGGTACACCAGCATTCAAATTGATGCAGGTTAATGGGGATGACAAGAGGGATATGTTTGGTACTTTTTTTTATTTTTGCAGGGATGTGTATGTTACCCTGACATAAGGAGGAATAGTTTTGATGTTTTGATGTTACATAGGGATATTTATGATACTTTTCCCTAGAGATAGAAGCCTCCTTAAGTTCTTCACTATTTTTCCTGTCTTTCTTCTCCCATCATCTCCACATGGAGATGATTGGCAAGCAAGCAGGTTTGTGAAGAATACAAGTGACCCAAGGACCAATGCAGCTACTACAGAAGCCAAAGTTGATAAAACTGGGGTTAGTGATGAGATGTATGGTACCTTTTGGCTCATCACTAACCTTATACTGTACTGCCACAGAATTCATGTACCTAATGCAGCACGCCAATGCCACTTTGCGAAAAATGTAACAAAAAAATTGAAAGAAAGATAAAAGCAACAATTGATACCTTACCATCTGTCTAAGTGCAGAATCAAAGGATCTTTTTGGTACAGAACTCGCAGATGAAGATCTGGAAGGTTTTTTGGAGAACATTACAGCTCTGCTGTTTGCAAAAGCACCATATTTTCTTGTAGCAGCAATAGGAGAAACTCCCACAGAAGCATGTGAATCAGTATCATCATCGCAAGAAGTTGACACAGATGGCTTACTAATAGAGCTAAAGGGGTTCCGTTCACTATTTTGTGATGAGCTGGCACTTCTTGAAGCAGATGGTGATATTGACTGCCTTCTAAATTTTGATGAACCTGTTCCATTTGTAGATGCAGGAGACAAACCCCGTACACGTGATGTTGACCGATCTGTTAGAGAAGTTCGAAGGTTTGGTGGTGCATCTGTGGAGAATCCAGGAAGATTTGATTGCCAACCTCGCAATTTCGGTGAGGAAGAATTGCCACGATTTGTCCTTACAGGGGATGTTCCCCTTGTAGAAGAGTATGCCGGCCCAGTGGACCCAGTACTCATCCTCCGTACCGTGGGAGTCAAAGACCTTTGAGTCAGTGGTGAAGGCTTGGCTGGAGGAGTGGAAGGTCTTCGTGAGGGTGTTGCTGATCGCGGAACAGGAAGTGGGCTAGAGCGGGGAACTGAAGATGGTCTAGTTCGTGAATGAGTTACACTGCTACTAGATGTTGGAGATGAACTTAATCGACATGGACTCGCGCTGCTCCTATTTGTCCTCGAAGTCTTCTCACTCTGTGACCACATAAAAAGATATCAAAGACATTGCTAGCAAAAGAGGGGAAATGTGAAGGAAAAACTGGTTACACATGCAAGATCAATGTCACAAAAGGGAGTTATACCGTGGATGTTCTTGAGATTGAAATGGGTTGACTTCTTATCCTGCCTCTGGACACATTAGTAGGTTGAGGCTCATCATCATCCAATGAAGGAAATAGGGGGGTCTCAGGAGGAGTCAACAACCTGCTTGGTAACAAGAAATTAATTAGTCATTACTTCACATGGCTAAACTACAAACAATGATTAAAAGTGTTTTGCATTGCTGAATGAATACAACATAATCAAACTTAAAAAGGAAGAGAGTAGCATGAGAAGTTATAACAGGTTCAATATTTGGCTGTTAAGGTACTGGCACTTGATAATACAATTAAAGTTTACACAAACATAGAAATAGACCCAAGTGCCTCACAAGGACTTAAAATGAGGAGAAAACAATTTCTATGGAGTTATCAATATGCAGATTCTCTTAAATGGGGAACTTACCAGTCATAGTCATGTTTCTCGCCATCTGCATTGAGCAGATCACTGCTCTCTCCTTGAGCTGGAATGGTGATCCCAAGCTTGAAATTTGGAAAATATTTTAATTTTGCTGATGACATTAAAAAAAGAGATCGGTTGAAAGCCAGTTTTAGAAAACTGAACAAGAATGCAAAATAAAGAAAACCTACAGAACAAAAAGCAAGGGTGGAGTTGAGGCATTACATATAGAATCATCAAAATCATCAGAAGAGTGCAGCAAGAAGTTGTCCCTCTCACGGTTCTGCATCTCGTTGAACAGGACAAGATCATCATCCTTGGCCCTCAGTGGAAATTTACTCTCTAAACTGCGGCCCCTCGTGTGGAAACCCTCCGTCCGTATCTCCCTCACAGGAAAGCGCCTCGATGAGGGCGAAGGAGGCATCTTTCACACCTTCAGTATTCCTTACAGACAAGATTCCTTCCGGCTCCTTGCTCGACGATGCGGGTTGTCATATGCCAAAAAATCCAATAGCATAGAACCTTCCATACAGAAGGATTAGGTGCCGATGTCACTGCAACAGCCTATCACACGGAATTTGTAAATGCTAACGTTAAAAATGAGCAGCAAAAACAAACAAAACCTTCTTTGATGCAGAAAACAACAAATTAGAAACAGTCAGCAGCTTCAGCCGTGTTCTTAACTATTCTCTACGTTCTAACACACAATGCCACATAAAAGTGGAAACTGGTCAGCAAGCAAAGTGGCAAACCATCAAAAGCGAAGCAAGAGCACATCAAACTTGCAGAATTCTGATAGAGGACTACCCGATATCAAGCACCAGACAGACATTCTAGGTAAAAATCCAAGCTTTCCGCAACAATTCAGGACAAAACTAGGAATCTCAAACAAACTACAGAGTCCCCTCGCGAGAGATCCCACATGTCATGATTTCGTACCTCCCAAAGCTCCTACTACCTCCGATCTGTCCCCCCTCCACCTAGGGTTTCTCCACCAACCGCGAGGCTACGCGCAAAAGCTGGCGCCTTTGCGCGTCACCGCTCCCGTTCAGCTCGAATTCGTGGCACGGACAAGCAGCATTCAGAGATTGACGCCGGAATCGAGCGGGAAACCCGATCGCAGAAGGAAGGGCCCCAGTTCTCCTGGATTCGCAGGTCAGGGTGAGTCGCGCGTAGGGGAATTTGCACGGATTTTGGCAAGGATCGAAGGAAGAGGAGGAGCGGAGGAAGAAGAGCGCTCACCGATCTCGTTAGGGCTTCTCTTCCTTCGATCTCTTTAACTGTTTCCACGGTTTCGTTGCCACACTCTTCTCACAGCTGCTGTTGCTGCAACAACTACTTCTACTCGTTTAGATAATCGGGACAAAATTACTGGAATGCCACTGCAGGACAGGAATTAGAATGGATTAACGAGTTAATCTAGGGGATTAATGATGGAACTCAATTAGCACTTAATTAACTCATGAAACAAATCTATCCATAATTATTATTATTATTATTATTTTAATATATTTTGGCATTTATAATTCGTGCAATCACACTGTTTTGTGCTTGAATTTGGGTTAGATTAGAATTCCACATACATACATGGAAGTAGAAAGATCATTCTGTCTTGATTTGGAACTCGATTAGTACCTAATTAACACAGACAAACCAATCAATCTATGCCATGTGGCAAAAAAGATAATTTTTCTGCATAATTTGTGCAATCACAACTTTTCCAATTGTTAATTTGGTATAGATTAGAATTCCAACACACATACATAGTAAGTCTTAATTTGGAAGCCAATTAGTCCTTAATTAACACGTGAAACCAATTGTTTTATGTCACGTGCAAGAAAATATATTTTTTGGTGTGTGATTTGGATGACATAATTGTTGAAATTATTTGCCTTTGTACTTTCAATTTGGCAGCGATAGTCTTAATTCGGATCCTTAGTAGTCCTTAATCAACACATGCAACCTCACTTTGGTTGATTAGGCATTTAATTAACCATATTTATATTGTTAATGGACTCTACTTTGGCGGGTAGTCTTAACCATAGAACTATAATTAACCTCTCATCGAGGCGGCAATTTGGGGGTTTATTGTAATGCCAGGGGTAATTTTATGAACGGCCTATGATTTGATTAAGCCGCACTCGACTACGACGCCGCACCTCCAAGAAAACAAACCCGGGCAACCATTGGATGACTTCCCGGGGGCCCACCCAATTCATGACTCGATGTGCGTTCGCATTCTGAAGGTTGCTTAGAAGAGAATAAGCGTAGGAAAGCTGCGCCCGAGACAGCATCTAAGAAGCATTGGTGGGGGCCAAGCTTGCATTTGAAGGAGTAATGCTGGGTGGGGTTTGTTGGCATGCACATAATATATCCATTATGGAAGCCTTCTCACATCTTTAATTACATATTTGATAATTACATATTTGATACACTAATTATTCAAGATTTTATTTTAGAATTATTTTTTTGATTTACAATAATTCTAAAGGCATCTCCGGAGCTGAGATCGAGTCTGATCGGGTCCAACCCATTTCGGATTGGTCCGTTCGGGCCGACCGACCGTATTTGCAGCTCGGGATTGGGTCGATCCGCCACATCTAGTACAATTTAAACAACTCGATAGGATGCGTACACCTCACAGATCGCACCCACGTGTCGCTTCAGAGCAAGGAGTGTAGAAAATAATTTACAGAGTCTTTTGCTTGGAATCCGAAGGCCGAGAAAAGTCCAAGTCAAAAGAAACGTGCTGGTTTTAGTGACCTTTGTAGCCAAATCATCGACGTCGATTCCGCAGGTTGAACGGCGAAGCCGACGCTGAATCGGATCACGGCCGTCCATCGGAAATAGATGGACGTACACCAGGAGATCGTATTCTTACCGTCGGATCGGATTAAATAACGGTCAAGATGTCTCCTAGCACCGACCAGGACGACCCCGCGGGTGCTATAAATATGTCAGGCGATGGCTTTCGGATCCGGTCGCTGTTCGCTCTATCCGTCGCTGGGCTTCGGGAGATCGCGTGTGGGCGCGTGTTGTCGAGGAGAAAGAGAGGCGAGAGGCGAAGGGGCGGGCGCGAAGCGAGGAAAGAGAGGGGCTGTTCGATTTCTAGGGTTTTTCTTGAGAGGGCCCCCCCGGTGGCTCCGTCCTTCGATTCAGGTTTTGGAATTTGCTATTGCTTTGGGTCTTTAATGATTTAGGTTTTGCTTCCTGCTGTTTCGTGGATGAATATGGCTCGGGTTTCGTACCTTCTCATGTTTGGATTTGGATAGACGAAATTGGATTCGGATATCGAGATACCGGGTTTTGTGGATCCCGGTACCTAATTATGTTTTAGGGTTTCTTTTGATTGATGTGCTTTTGAGGTTTGGGTCGATTTTGTAGGGGGGATTTTGCCCACAATTTATAAGTATATTTGGGGTTTGGCTTCTGGTTTTGGGAGAAGCTTCGATTAGCTTTTGCTGGTAAAGTTACATTGCTGAAGGGTAGAATTTTTTGTAAGTTAGGATTTTGATCTTTGATAACTCGCGGTGCGATTCTGAGGTATTTAGGGATTTATAGATTGACTTTTGCTTGTGAGAGTGGATTGGTAAAGCATAAATTTTTTTAAATCAGGATTTTGACATTTTCTTGGGCAGCAAGCTTGGATTTGAGGGTTAGTTGTGGTAGTTACTTGATTCATTTGTGCATATTTGAATGTAAACATCGGATGATTAAGAGCAATCTGATACCGTGTATATTTCTCCCAGCTGACGACTGAGAACAAAGATGCACTCATCCTGTTGATTTTTTTTTTTTTTAGTGAACTGCAAAAAGAAAAGACGACCAAATTATTTTCAGCAAATAGATTGCATTCATTGCAAAATGGATAATCTTTTGTGATCTTTTTGAATGACTGATGTGAACAGTTGTCTTGGATTTACCGTATGGCACCTACAGTTCTTTTAGAGTACACCAAAGAGAAACAGATGAAGAGAAGTTCACATGATCTTTCTTTTGCTACGAAGGGGAGAAAACAGAAATTATCTCAAGGATATCGTTCTGGTTCCATCAATGACTACCAGCATAACTCTGAGAAGATTAATGAATCAGAAGGTTTTGGCATCGCAATACGTGCAGACTCCTCGGATAATTCTAGTGCTCCAAAGAGGAAGAAGTGCGTAAATGCAAATGTGGCCAGATGCAATGATTTTGGTGTCCCAGTGCAGGTGATTTCTCTGTCAAAGATGTCTGGTTCTCAGAGAGAAGAAGTGAAAATGAGACTAAGATCAGAGCTAGGACAGATTCAGTTGTTTCAGAAGCAACTGTTTTCTAGGAGTGTGACATCCCTTGGCATTAGCACATCATCTTCGTTTAATGTCAGTGAGAAAAAACATGATCAGCGGAGTGGTTCCCAAATGAAGCGTGGGATATCAGGAAGGTTTGAGTCTTCAAAAACGGATGCGCCTCCACCTCCTGTGACCGATTCAAATTTAGTGTTGATGAAAGAATGTGAGGTGCTCCTCAGTCGATTGATGACACACCACTATGCTTGGGTCTTCAACGAACCAGTAGATGTAGAGAAGCTGAACATTCCAGATTACTACACTGTCATTAAGCATCCAATGGACTTTGGCACCATCAGCACTAAATTATCCTCAGATGCCTATCCCAGCCCACAAGGTTTTGCTGCAGATGTGAGGCTTACTTTCACAAATGCAATGACCTATAACCCACCTAGTAATAGCGTTCATATCATGGCAAATAAGCTCAGCAAGTTCTTTGAAACTCGGTGGAAAACCATAGAGAAAAAGTTAGCTGCAGCGGATGCTGTTATTAAGAAAGAATTTCAGGTTGTTAAGCCTGAGTTTTCCTCCAGCAAGAGGAAAATGCCTCCTACTGACGACAATAATCCTGTGCCTAAGAGGACAAAACCCAAGATGACGGACGAGGAGAAACAAAGTCTGACCAGACTGTTGGAATCGCTTTTGGCAGATCTACCAGATCACATTATTGATTTTCTGAGACGACAGAGTGGCAATGTAAACCAAAGCAGTGATGAAATAGAGATAGATATTGAATCTTTTGCCGATGACACACTCTTTGAGTTGCAGAACCTTCTGGATAGCCATATGCAAGAGAGAGAAATGAGACACCAGGCCGAGCAAGTGAATGAAAATGGTGTTAGCACTTCACAGTTGCATCCTTGCAAAGGTTTGCCCTCCTTGTGCATATGATATTTTGAAGAACAAGTGTAGTTATAATCAAGGTTCGCTATACCGTACCGTACCGGCGTTTCGATCCGGGCTTGGTATGGTATGGTACCGGTGTACCGGGCGGTACATCAGGGCGTACCGAGCGGTACATCCTGGTGTACCGAATAATTATTTATTTTTTCATACTGTAGCAGTGCCACAGTATAGTACTGTAGCACTGTAGCGGTACCGGGCGGTCCGCGTATCGGTAACCTGTCGGACCGGTACGTACCGCCCGGTATGGACGGTACGCTTCGGTATGACAGACTTTGGTTATAATAAGTCAGAAAATTAGTCTTGTGCCTTCCTGTTCATTTGCAGGCAATGATCTTGCTGACGAGGAAGTAGATATATGTGGTGACGATCCTCCCATGTCTAGCTACCCTACTCTGGAGATTCAAATGGACACAAAGGCAACAAATGTCAATTGTAGCAGTTCAAGCAATTCAAGTAGTGATTCAGGTTCTTCCAGTGGTGTGTATTTCTTTGCATGCATTATAGTTTATGCATACATTTTTTATCCATTTGCTCTTGTTTTTATTTTAAGCAGTCATGCCAGTTTCTAGATTTAGTTTCTATAATCTACACTTTTTTGTATGTCGGTCTGGCTGTTAGGAGAGAAGAGGAGCGGAATGGGTGTTTTTTGTTTTTTTTGGGAGGGGGGAGAGGGGTTGTTGGTGGTGGATTTATATAGGTGTAGATCTTCATCTAACATTTTATGTAGAACCTCTTCATGTAACTTGGAAGTGTTTATGATGGTTTGTGGCTTCTGAATACATTAGACAATTTTTGGGTCATTTTTTTTAGGGCCATGGCTTGTGGATTTAGAGTTATGCGTAAGCTAAGTACGCTATTTCCTTCCACATTTTATTTTTTCCCATCCTCAACCCTTTTTGTGTGATCATTTCTGGCTTCAGTTGTGGATTAGATGTGGGTTGGATGTTATGTAAACAAAGATATAAACTACGGGGTTAGTTCTCATCATTTCTTTTCCTGCCTGTAAGGTTTGATGAGTTGCCTGAATTGTGGAATTGGTTCTTGCGATTGATATGTCTGCTAACATAGTGCATCATTGTCGTCACTGTCCATAATACTTACGTTAGTTTTCATTTTTAAATATACAAATCAGCCTCCGTTCATCGTGCATTTATTATAATTGATGAGGTGACGAGCACCATTTGTGGTTTCCTTGGTCTTTTGGAAGAGCTAGAGCTTCTGTAGTGATTTGCTTTGCCTAATATTCTTGATACTTTAGAGAACTGAAGTTGTTTTAATGGCTATAAATAACATGACTAATATTTTGAAAATTCTCACCTGAAGCCATCATATTTTGTTTTTGATGGTAGAGCATTGCTCTTCTTTAGTGCAAGGTTTTGGTTCCCCATTTTCCCTGCAGTTAAGGTGGATGACTCGCTTTTTTAGGCTGAGTTTGATGGCCTTGGACTTGGAGCCTTTTGGCCTATGTAACAGTACCCTTTGTCCCTAATCAAAATGAAAAATAACAATCATTTAAATTGTTAATCACTATTTCTAGGAGTTGCCAACCTTAGGAACTTGCAGGCCTCATAAGATTATTGACAACAAAGTGAAGCATTATGTGAGGAACTGAAACTCCATTGATGCCAGCATTATTGACAAAAAAAATTATGAACTCAAAGACCCCTAACATAATGCAATCTCTGATTTCAATTTTCTAGTTACTATTATATGAACATCTCAGAGAAGGATTTGTGCATGAAATTTGCCATCATCAGATAATTTCTGTGTTGATCCATTTCAACATCCATTTATTAAGATATTCAAGTTTTGTGGGAACTAGTCATTGGCTCTATACTAGCTCCACTTCCCTTCTTCCAGTACTTTTCCCTCTTGCTCCTTTTCTCTCGCTATTTAACGCCACCATGCTTCTTCTTTGATGCTGTTCTGCTGCCAACATTGTTTACCAGGTATGTCTTCTTTGTCACTCCATCTCACATGTTCCCGTCTCGTCTCCACTTGAAATTCCAATAGAAGCTTCTGTTTTGGGAATTTAAACCAGATGCTAAAACTGGTCTAGTTCAAAATATTTTGTGAACTTCTTTACTTATTCTTCTAATTCAAATTGTTTTTTCTTTAAACACCAAGCATGTTGGAACATGTAGAGCTAAATGATGCATATCATTTAATTGATAAGGCATTTTGGAGGGGTGTGTGATGTAGAACAAAAAGAGAAGTAGAGAGAGAGGGAGAGAAAGCAAGAGAAGAGTAAGATTAGAGAGGGGAGTAAGAGGTTAGAAGAGAGAAGATGCAAGTTTTCTTCATTCAAATCTGAACTGTTTCATCCATTGACAAGCTCCACTATTTATAGGATTTGAGCAGTTTTAGTACAATCAATGAAGATACTGATGCTCAAGAGTAACCTTCTAGGCTGCCTCCTTTGAATTCTAGGGTACTTGTATGCCTTTTGGAAACCCATGTCTTATAGGAGGCCTAAATAGTTTTACAAAATTTATCAGAGCCGAGAAGAAAAGAAAAGGTGCACTGAATATGAAAGTAAGGTCCCAAGGTTAAAACCCAGAAAGACCAAAAGAAACTTCATTTTTCCACAACTCCTCATTTCTAGGCTAGCTGATTGATGATATTTTGTTGATTCATCCTCTAATGTGGGAGATTCGGGAGCTATGATCTTGGGACAAGGTTAATAACATGTTGGATTTCTCGTAAGGGTGATAATTCACTAGGTAATTCCGAATGTATTACATCAGAAAATTTATCTAACAAGGATTTAACCTCAGGAGTTAGGTCAGGAGTAGTGTATAAGGGCTAGGAATATCTATAGCGATGATGGCCTTACAAAAAGACTTGGGACCTAGTAAGTGGAGTTCCTTGGTGGTTGAGGCTTGTGGAAGGGACTTGAGAGTTCCTGATTGCCCTTTTTTTGTTTGTTTCGTAGGTTGCAGGATATGTTTTTACCTTTATACCAAAAGACACATGTGATTCGTCTCCCATGATTGATAATATCAAGGTTATACAGCCAAGGCCGACCTAGAAAGATGAGGGCAACATCCATCTAATAGAACATCGCAATAAATCCTATCCTGGTAATTGCCTGTTTTGATTGGTACCAGGCAACTCTTAATCATGGGCAATGTGGTTTTGTCAACCCAGACTATCTTGAATGTCTTCTGATTTGACTCTACCTTAATGTTTAAACTCTTTTGAGACTACTACCCCCATGTATAACCAACTTGCATGTTCTCTCTTGCTTTGGATAAAAGTATAGAAGATACTTGTCCTCTTCCATTCGTTAGATACACTAGCAATAGAGAGAATGATGCAGGTAACATTGACATGGTTATCAAGTTCTATTTTGTTTTTATCAGCCGAGTAGGTTTCGGGTTCAACTACTTGGCCTACTTCAATTTGATCCTCTGGTTCTTGTTTTAAGGTAAGCGTACGTTTAGGACAATGAGAGACAATATGACCTTTATTATGGTAGTAGTGACATCAAATTGAACATGAACCGATTTGAGAATCAAGTGATCGAACAAGTTGGATGAATCATGATTAGGCTAGGGGTGTTGCTGGTCATGGGGATTTTCGGTTTTGACAAAGCCACCACTTTAGGTAGATTGAGAATTGGTTACATTGTTGAAAGATTGAGAAGATGCTTGACAAGTTGGATATCGTTGAAGTTTCTTCTCACTCTTAATGACTCGTCGAGAAACTTCTTATATGTCAGGAAAACTAAGTGAGACTTTTCGTTAGATGTCAAGTGTTAACTTGTTAATTAAGTTTTGGACAGTGATGATTTGGTCCTCATCAATTTCACACCTAAGTAAAAATTACTTAAATCGAGCCAAATATTTATCCACACTATAACTCAACTGCTTATGGTTTAACAATTGTTCGATCAGTCGGCTTCGAAAGTAGGTTGACAAATAATTCTCTCTAAAAGTAGGTTGGCAAATAATTTTCATAAGTTTTGTTTCATGACTTTTCGTCAAGTGATGAGAGACTTACGAAAGTGTTCAAGACTATGTTGGACATGTTGTCAATACTTCATAGCAGACCCTATTAGTTTCATTTTTGCAAACCTCACATATTCAATTTCACTCATTCCGTACCACTCAAAGTAGTCATTCATGTTATCTAACTAGTCAGTAGAGACATTTGGGTCAAACCTATTATTAAAGTTTGGCACATGCACTTTAACTCTTCTAGCCATTTCCCCTAGGTTGTTAGCAAATTGAACTTGTTGGCCCATTACTTGGGTTTGTGGATTTCTAGTAGGGTATATGAATTTATCATTAAGGTCAAAAGTTTGATCATCGAGAATTGTTGGAGCATAGTTGTGAACAGGTGATCCATAGGGTAAATCTAGGATTCGTTCGAAGTGGAGCTTGGGGAGTAAACAAAATAACTCGATTTATAGTTATGGATTGTGGAGAATGGTTATATTGCCTAATCGACTCATTAACCTCCTCATTCATGGGTCACTTTTCAAGATTGAGGACTTAGTTCAGTTGGTCAGATAACTTGTTCAACATTGTGTTGTGATCTAACGTTGTATTGTGATCTGCTTGTTTGGTCCTAAGGGTGTCTACCTCACTCTGTTAGATTTGGGAATCATCAAGATTGGGTTGATTTCTACCTCGCCTAGCTATGATTTTTATGCTATTGACAAATTGTCTTTTGTTATTGATGTTAACTGCTACAAGGTAGAGGTGTAATGATTCAAGTGGTTCTTACATTTTTTCTCACTTTTTTTTGGGTGGGTGACAACTTTGAAGGTTTTAAATTTTAATGGTACCATGGTTAAAGGGGGGAGAGAGAGAGAGGGTGATATATAAAAAAAGGGGTGAAAATGGGGGAAGAAGTGATGAAAGCCACCATATAACGAAATATACTTTTTTCTTGACAAATACATGTAAAGTTTTCAAAAATTACCAAGCATCAAATTCTGTAGGGATGCTCACCCCAAAGTCCAACGCCACATGCAAGGGGTTGACATTGGAGGTGCAAGGATATCGGGTTTCTTATTAGGCTCTTACCAACTAATATAGAACAAAAAGAGAAGTAGAGAGAGAGAGAGCAAGAACGTAAGAGAGGAGTGAGATTAAAGAGGAGAGTAAGAGTCTAATGCAAAAGTTGAGAAGTAGGGAACACGTATTCCTTTTGGAAACTCAAAATGTAACTTCTAGAAGACATAAATAGCTTTAAAAAACTTATCACACAGTTGAGAAGAAAAAAAAGGAGCAGTTAATGCAAAAGTTGGATCCCAAGGTTAATACCTAGGAAGACCAAATGACTCATTTATCTTTCTGCACAACTCATAGAGTTTCTAGGCTAGAATAAACCCTTCTAGAATATGTTTCTGCTCTACATTAACTAGAGCTCTTGGATTAATGTGTTCTTTTAATGATTTATAAATAAATTGTGTTTATTGTCATTTTTGTTAATTGAGTGATCTAGAGATGGCTAGTTAATGATGTAAAACTCATGTTTTGATTGAAATTTTTACAATGATTATCTTTATGGTTAGATTTTTTTACAATTTTTATAAGGTAAATATCTTATTTTGCTTAAGTAAGCGCTTACCTAAGTGCTGCAAGCGCTTTCAATAACATTGGCCTTTTGAATTATTTGTACATTTTAGTAGCCTTACATATGCGTTTAGTAGTTCCTTTTTTTTTTTTTTTGACAATTATAGTTGATCCTAAACTTTGTTTTTTCATGTATTTAGACTCCGATAGTTCTAGCGAGAGCGAATCGGAGGATGAAGTTACCATTCCGAAGAATGCTAAGGTATGTTCCAAAATTTGCTTTCTGGACCATGAATATAGTGTCTCTAGAACTAATTTCCCCTCTTCGTTGAGTGCTCTCTTTTTTTTGCACTGTTTAGAAATGTGTTCTTCTGAGAAAAAGAGTTAAGGACTGAAATTTTTTATTCCTGTCCTCTATCAGAAAAATTCTGGAAATAAGGCAGGTTCTGATCAAGAGAAAAGTGATGTAATGAACCCATTTGATGTGAACCGTGAGTTTCTGATATTAGAAACTGTTGGTTTGAAAGGAAAGAAAATCAGGGTATTTTTAGTTGCATTGAACAGTCCTATAACTTCAAACTATTGGCAACTTGCAGGACCTTCGAATGGGTTGAATTTCTCAGAGAAGGATGCTGATCCTAAACCCTTATTGGTTGGATCTGACGAATGTCAAGAGGGTAAGCATGAATTTCTAAGAAGAAATATACTACCTAGGGTCCTAAGCTTTTTATTTGCATGGATTGGCTTATCTTCCCCCCCTATAAATTTTAGGGGATCATACACCATCTGAGAGAAAAGTCTCCCCGGAAAAGCTATATAGAGCTGCTTTACTGAGGAGTCGTTTCGCTGATACTATTGTGAAAGCTCGGGAGAAAACTCTCGGTCAGGTTGGTTGAACAGAGGCTAATCTGCTGCAATTTTAGTACTTCTGCTCTTATGCATGTAGCGGGTGACCATCATAAGCCTGACTGGTCATATATATATTGCTGCTCAGTGTGATAAGGGGGATCCTGAAAAACTGCAGCGTGAGAGGGAGGAAATTGAGCGTCAGCAAAGGGAAGGTAATTATGATTATCACCGATGATATCTTTGCACCAGTTACTGAAGTTCATTTTGTTAAGGAACTTTTGTTCTCTACTGGAATAGAGAAAGCGCGGCTTCAAGCAGAAGCTAAGGCTGCTGAGGATGCTCGTAAACGAGCTGAAGCAGCAGCTGCGGCTGAAGCTAAGCGCAAAATAGAGCTTGAGAGAGAAGCAGCACGTCAGGCATTGTTGAAGGCAAGTACTTGTGTATGTTTGGTAAGATTCTTCGAGTGTCCTTTATCGTATGTTTTTATTAACCATAGTTTTTCTAATGTCATTGCAGATTGAGAAGACAGTGGACATCAATGAAGACTGTCGTATTCTTAAAGATCTGGAAATGCTCGGGACAGTTCCAGCTGAAAATGAGAAGCACACAGGTTATTCTCTGGATGGCATAGGAGGCTTCAGACTTGGGGGGAGTAACCCTTTAGAGCGACTCGGGCTATTCATGAAAGTGGATGATGAAGAAGAGGAAGAGGTTGAACATAAAAGCGCTCCTGTAAATGATGTCGAGGAGGGAGAGATCGATTGACAGTATTCTCCTCCATACACTGGTTTTGCTCTTGGATCTTGTCAGAACTAAGGATTCTGACATCTGCAGAAGATGATGCATCCCAAGTGATTTGGCTGTCACCTTCTAGGACGCAGAGTTTGCTACCTTTTGGGGTAATTAATTGACGGCTAAATGGGCGGTCAAGGTGGTCTATTTTCTGTGGCGTACATTCAGGTTTGGAAATTGAGGTTTTCCACCCAGAAGAAGGATATGGTGTTGCGTGTAGATCTGCTTGATTGGTGACAAGGTGGCTGTCTAATTATGATTTGTACATAGAGGATTGACCGATTTGGTCCTTGTAATCCGAACAGCTGGCATCCTATGCTGGGGATCATTACTCTGCATCCCTTAGTGAAATGGTGCATGCATGAAGTCGTCATTCTTCTAGCTTTGTTTTCATAAGATAGGTTTCTTTACATATTCCCTCCCAACTGTACAGGGAAGCTAACGGTGTGGAAACAATTTCCCCGAGTCTCATTTTTTAGATGGTTAGCATTTTCCCGATATCTCATTCTTCTGTTCTCCGCATTATGCCTTATGAATTAGCTTTTTTTGTGGAATCTTCTGCATCCAAGAGCAAAATGCATACTTTCTTTTCTAGTGCTCTTTTATGGTGTACCTGCAAGATTGAAAACTAGTGCTCTCTTATTTGTCAGCTTGATGCTCTGTTCTTGTGATCATGTGATGAACTATGTTATTTGCACTAACCTTTTGAAGTCTGAGATCATAGCCACAATTATGGTGGCCCTGTCTTCATGATATTAAATCGTCTGCTACTTTATTATGCCCCCCCCCCTCCCCTGATGATTACCATGTGCTTGTGATGTTTGGTTAAATCCTGTGTCACATTGTTTGCCAATAATTGTAATGCTGTTCATATAATTGCTATAGTGTTTATCCTTTCCGTGATCTGTAAGAAACAGCCTCGAGTTTTGAGGACATGTCTTTGGCTCTCTTTAAAATATGTAATCCACATGCTACCAAACGCATTTATCATAGCTTTCTTTCGTTATCTTCAAACTCGCAATCAAATCTACCATGTTGTAAACGTGAAAACCGCGTGTTCTCTCTCGAGTTTTGCATTTTAATGATGGCAGTGTGACAGCTGAGGAAGAAGGCCTTGGCGTGAAGGAAATGTATCACAGCATGCTGTAAGTAGTAAACCTTCAAGCAAAAGCTTCTCGATCACTGCCTTTTCCTTGGATGCATCCATATGTATTATCATCATTATTCCTCTTTGTCGATAGCATTACATCTAAAATCTGAAATCTATAAACGAAAAAAGATCTCCATTATCATATTCTTAACATCAAGGATTTAACGAGGAGCGAAGACTCTATTATTCGTCGAGACTGCAAGCAATCTTTACCAACCATTTGCGGGGCGGTCCTCGCAGTCACCATTCCCCGAAACGAATGACTTCGACAAGAAGCAAGACGATAAAGATACCGTCACTCGATTAATTGGTTTGCTAACGAGTCGTATTTGCTCGACGCAATGGAGCTGCAAATTTCTTTCTCTTGACGTTGACTTCATCCGGTCCGATCAAACTACATCATCCGCAATGCAGGTTTCTCCCTTTCACCACCAACGAATACATAGAGAGGCAGGCAGATCGGTCCATGCGAGTTTGGAACGCTCGTCCGATGAGCTGAAATATTTCTATCCAAGGATGAAACGCATGAATCGAGGAACTACTTGGAACTACTCAACTCGAAGAGACGGACATTTAAGAGTCCATCTACGCCAAAGTAACACGTCCTCGCGTTCACCCCTCGATAAACACACCGGCAGACCGAAGACGAAACCATCTTATCATCCGAACGATCCGACGGTCGAAAACCGTCCGTATCTACCACCATGTCGTCATCCGATCCAAACCGATGGGACGGCCCAGATCACCCCGGAGCTACCGGCTCGTGTCGGTAGAAGATCGAAAGCAGGCGCTGCCCCGCGGGTCGGCACGTGTCGGTGGCTCTCCAACCATCGACGCTACCCTTCTCCCCGTCGAACAGCGAACGAACGAACGACGACGGAAGGCCACATTGCAAAAACACCCCTCGAGTTGGTACTTTTCTTCGATCGCTCCGACTCCGTCGCACGGCCCGTGTTGTGCACGAACTTCTTTAAAGCCGAAGTGGTGTCGCGCATATGCCCCTGTAGAATTTTGGATTTAGCGGGGGTGTTGGAAACGAAATTTAGGCTTCGGGGAGGGAGATCTATGTAAAAGCAACGCGGCTAAATTGGGAGGAGGGGGGCAGATTCGCCTTCGGTTCCTTCTCTTTCTCCGACGCTTTCGACCCTCTTCTCGTGGCCGCAGAGAGGGGAGAAATAGAGGTTTTGGTGTATTCGGCTCCGTTCTCTCCGAAACCCTAGGATTTCCTCTCTCTCCGCCATCAGTTCGTCTCCCTGCGTGCGATTTTCTTGCTGGATCTGTGGTGGACTCGTTACCCTCCTTTTATCTGCTCCGGTAAAAGGAACTGTCTTTTAGATTTTTGTGTACCGTTTAGGTGAATCGATTTGAGGGAAAGGTTGATTCTTGAAGACGTGTTAGGGTCGGGTTGGGCGCTAGATTAGATTGTTAATCCTTTTTTTTGTGTTTCCGTTGGTAGACGATCCTTTCCTCCGATCTCCTTTCGTGTAGGGTCCGGCTCAAGAGGGCTCAATGAAATTTTTGGGGCTGGTTTTTTTGTTTGCTATCAAAAATTGAGGGTTTTCTTGGGGTTCTGAAGATTAGGTCAGCTTAGGCTTACCAGATACAGATTAAAAGTACCGTCTTGGAATAATTGGAGTACAGATCAAAATTCTTTCTTTTGATTTTGATACACAAGTTGGGTTGAACGAGAAAGAATTTGGGTGCTTAGGGTTCGTTAGCATGGCCTTAAATTTTTCATCTTGTTCTGTCTTTTCTACCCCGTTTGTTCATACCGATGATGAGTCCTCTCGATCGAGATGCGAGAGGAGCCCTCTTGTCTCGTATTGGGACACTGGAAGTGATTATGGTTACGTTGAAGGGGATAGTGGGTCGACCGATGTGGAAGGTGCGTTTGATCCGGTCGACCTGCTACCCGATGATCCATTCGGGATGGGGCTTGACGACAGCATGGGAGTTGCGATAGCCAGTCTTCTCGAGGTCAGTGGCAGTGACTTTTTTGGGTGGACGCTCTTGTATTCACCTGAAACTCAGTTTTACCATGATGGTTGGATGGAGGAATGTGATGGCTGGGACGATGGGGACTTCACAGGATTGTCTGTTCGGGAAGCCGGAGATGAAATTTTGGAATCTGGCTTGGATATGGGACATTCTTTAAACTGCAATCGTGCAGAAGAAGCTCGCTCCATCATAGATGATGGTACCCCACACGAGGGACTGCTCTTCTCGCTCGGGTATTTGGGTGTTCGGGATCTCCTCTCCGTAGAAGGGGTCTGTAGGTCCTTGCGTTTTGCTGTTCAGAGTGATACTCTCTTGTGGAGATGTATCCATATCGACTCTCCTCTAAGTGAGAAGATAACTGATGATGTGTTGCTGCGGCTAACACAGAGAGCTCAAGGGAATCTGCAGTGCTTGAGCCTGACGGGTTGTTCAAGGATCACTGATGATGGCCTGAAGCGAGTGCTGGACAATAATCCAAGGCTGAGGAAGGTTAGTATCGATGAGTACAAATCTTGCATCAGTTTGTTTACTGTTTCCATCACCCTGAACTTATTTTGGATATGTTCCTCCTACGTTGTAATTCAATTTGCAGAAATTATGTGGATTGTCTTTGTACATGATGGTGCTGCTTCTTCTGATCATTTTCTTTTCTCATAAATTTATGGCAGATATGAATTTGTTACCATTACGGCTCATTGTTATAGGTGACCTGATACTACTGGTTGGTGACAACATCTGACATGAAAATTTTCATGCCAATAGTATGCATGGGTTCTATCTACTGTTTTGTCTAGCATAACAACAGAGCATAACTTGTTCTTTGGTTGAAGCCATTATTGGCGGGTCAGGACTTATCAACTCTGTTGGGAATTTATAAGATTATCTTGAAATTAAAGAAACTGATTTAAAGTTGCTGAAAGATATAATCTCGTCGTGGATCTTTTGTTTTTTATTTCTGAATGGTATCTTTTGTTATTTGTTTATAATCATTGTAATGCATGCTATTAGTTAGTTTTTCTATCAATGTTCATGCGTAGCCATTTATAGTAATGAGCTTCTTCAAGGACTTTGGGAACTCTTTCTGCTGTTGCTTCCTCTTTGTTGCTGTAAATTAATTATTAACCGGAAAAAGCATACATTTTACCAAGACTTAGTTAAGATTTTTTTTAATGAGAGATTCATTAGACTCTTTGTTATATACTTTTGTTACGAGGGAGACTTACATGTACAAGTGCTTTCATGTTTTAGATTTAGATACTCTGCGAACATACTTCTTTGACATTTGAACTTTTTGGATTATTTGTGTATACTTGGAGCAAAATGAGTTATTCCTGGAGCGAAATATGAATGGTCAACGTGCATGCACATTTGACCAATTATTTCCATTCAAGTTCAGAATTTTAAACATCAATCTAGAAGTTTTATTCTTATTGTTGTCTTCATATGGAGTGTCTTGCAATTTTTTGGAGGATTTATGCATTTCTTGACTACATGTTGTACTATGTATAGGTTTCTTCTAGTCCATTGACGATGACTCCATTTAATCTAAATGTTTATTGATCGTCCTTCTATTCAAATAAAATGAAGGATGGCTTAGTGCATTAGGCTCATCAATATATGCCTTATTTTTGCAAGCACTGAGGCTATTTTATTATTGGTCATCCAGGTTGCAGAGGAGCAGGCTTAGTGTCATGCCAAGGCTTGCCCTTGGTTTATTTAAACCTATAAATTAGCTGTTGATATTGTTTAAATTTATGACAAAAGAGACCGTGGTGTTAAGCTGTTAGAGGCTTAACACCACGGTTTGTCTCTCAGAGACCTGTCCTGATGCGTGAGGCAAGCTACACACATTGATTAAGTGCGAATAAAAATGAAACAAACCAAGAGTTGGGTTGCCTTTATCATCCCTAATACCTGGTTTGGAGGGAGCCTTGTGCATTAGATATATTTTGTAAAGTATTGGGCTGTGTTTTTAGGTCTTTTCCTTTTTAATCTTACACATGGTCTGTATATCAAGCTGGTAAAGTTTTGTTGAATTTTTATTATTATGACCTAAGTGGATACTTAAATCGATATAAATATCCTTCAATAATTTCTTACATTGACCATGACTTAATGTTGAAGCTTTATTATTCATTTATATGCTAGTTTATTTGTAAGGATATTCTAATATGAACCACATATGTGTCTGCATGGGCCATAGTATATCGTGTATGCCTTGTAGCATCAAGATCATGTGTTTGTTGCGACCACTTTTTGGAGAGTTAAAAAGTATAATTCTCCATTTTTTAGTTAACATTCCCTTGTGGCGTCATGAACATAGTAGGATATGCTTTTCTACATACTTTTGGCCTTACGTTGTTTATATTCAGTGACGATAGATTAACAATTCGTTTTTGGCCCATGCAGTTAAGTGTTCCTGGATGTGTGAGACTAAGTCTTGATGGCATTATAAACAGCCTGAAAGTATTGCAATCCCAAGGTATGCCAGGAATAGAACACCTCAAGCTTGGTAGGCTTTTCATTGTATCCGAAGAACAATATGGGGAGTTGAAGTTGTTGCTAGGTGCAGAGCAACTTCAGCAAGCCAAACATCAGAAACCAAGGTTCTACCACACCGATCGCTCATCTCCTACTTGTGATGATGACTGCATTATTGATATCGAGTTGTGTCCGTTGTGTCAGAAATACAAGCTTGTTTACGACTGTCCTTCTGAGAGTTGTCGAGGAAAGGGTTCTAAGCAGTGCAGGGCTTGCGATGTTTGCATTGCGAGGTGTATTCAGTGTGGGAAATGCATTAAAGACTGTAGGTATGTTGAGACATTTTGTCTCGAATATCTATGTTCAGGTTGTTGGAAGCTACCACTGGTTGTACATGAGAGCAACGAAGAGAAGTGAATATGCACCAGGATGGCGTACCTTTCATTCAAGAAATTGGTGATGTGAGATATTGTTGCCAAGAAATTTACACACGTGTCATTTCACTCCTTGTTGGTCTATTCTGAGGGAGGGAGGTTTACGTCCTTGAGGTTATCACTGTTTGATCTTAGTCAAGTTGAGCAAGTATTCGGGTTAATTATATACATACAGGGAATAAAGAAGAAATGAAATTAAAGACAAAAAAAAGGAAAATTACAGTGTTGATATCAGTGTGTTTCTGAGCCATATGAGCAGCTTAAGAACAGCTCAAGAGATTACCAGGTGACTTCGACTTGCTGTCTATTTGATACCTTTATGATGGACACTGTTTGAGGCTAACTGTTGACTTCTCTGTTGCCTCGTGCAGAGATCCAATCTCCATGTGCGCCGACACTCTGGAAATGGAAAATGATCAGAGTTTGCAAGAAAAGCATTATTATTGCTGTTCACATTGATTTCTTTGGGAAATGATTTGTTATGACTTGAAGATAATTTCCGCTGGTGATGTTTGTGAAATTAATCTCATGCTGGCTGTGATATAACAATATATTGCTTAGGAGATGTGTGTTTTATATAACCTGTGGATATCGTGGTGTTGTCTTTGTAGAAAGTTTACATTGTATGACTTGCCCATTTAATCTCCTCGTCAGACTGTATTTATCACCCATTCAACTGCGATTGGAGTATGGCTATGTTTCATTATCGATTGAAAAATAAGCTACTTATTTAATTTTTTTGTGGATTGAAACCTAATATTCTTAAATGGGTGAAGGCGTGTGATTACTGTGTTTCTTGTTATTAGTGGGAGCCATATGAGTATGATTTACTCTGTCGATCGAGGCCCTCTTGTCTCATGTTGAATAAACTAAAGTTGGTGATTTTTTTTATTATATAATATCTCATGTTTTTCTTTTTCTCAAATAGCGTTCTTGATTTTTATAATTTCGATGGGATATATATATATATATATATTCATGACCTCAAAATCAACCTTTTCCTTACCGTAGAGTAGTAGATTTGGGAGACTCAACTCTGTTATCCATGTGGCAAATGTGCAATTTTAATATCCTCGATGTTTTCATCATCAGAACTGTTGGATAATTAAGAGTGTTGTGCAAATAGTAGAACAATGCCACAGATATAATCCAAAGCAGTTTCAGATCTTGGAAATGGAGCAACATGTAGTATGTTCTACCTACTCCTTTCAGAGTATTTGACAGCATGAGATTCCCCCACTGACTGAATGTTCTACCTGCTTTAATTTTCCCAAGAACCTAAAAGAAATAAATTTAAAATCTTACTCCGCTAGTAACAATTTTTATAGCAGTGATAATTCACTTTATGTTCAGATTAGGATAAATGAAATATAATGTATACATCATAATTCACCTGATATACCGATATACCAATCAGCTATCGATACGATACATAACGAGCTATACCAAATCGTACCAAACATACCAACACATGATACATGGAAGTGTACTCATATACTGATCGTACCGATCTCCTGTCGGATCGATATGTACCACTCATACTGAGTGGTATGTCGTGCTACGACGAATTTTATCATACACGAACATTAAAGTTCCGTTTAATGAAGATATTTAACTTTCACTCCGTAGCAACAATCGACCCTCCTCAGGTTATCAATCAAATAGAGAAGAAACATCACTTTCATTACTTTGCTAATGTCCGAGATTGCATCTCCGTCTCAGCACTGATCAACCTTGTCATAACATTTGGATCCGCAATGTCACCATAGCTGCTACTCCTATTGTGGAGGGCAACTGGGGATGGAAACACCATTGGATTTTGTGGGAAGATGAGACTTGGGATGATCAAACTTGCACACTGATTTAAATGGGCAAAACCCATTTTTCATGTAGTAGTGGCACTCTGGCTGACCTGATCTCTCGGGATATTCATCGATGTGCACCTGCTAATGAACAATGAAATCACATTTATTTTCATCATTATTCATGACGGATGAAGCTAAATTTGTACATGTAACTTTGGTTGAATAAGAAAAACAGGTCATGGAGACCTGAACAAAACCATTCCAGACAAGTTTGATAAGATTACTATGTTGACTACGATTTTGAACTTTACAAGACATCCTTTGTCGTCATCGGAAAAATTGTTTCTTTGTAAGTTGTGTTTCAATCTACTGTTATGCCTGCGATAGTGAAATGCATCTGCTAGCAACCATGTTGACTCTTTCATAGAAGTAGTGAATCTCTCCCTACTTAAAGTAGGAGAGACAGTCGGTTGCTTCCCATAAGCAAGAACTGATGTTTCAGCCCCTATTTCATGTAAGAAATATGGTATCTTGCTTCCCAGAAGCAAGAAGAGACCTTACGAGCATTATTTTTATATGCTGCAGCAGCATGATGGGAATATTGACCCATTAATATCGTTGAGCCTGGACCATTACCTTAAGATGCTTAAATGCTTAAGCCTCTCCCACTTAAAAAGACTTGACATCTTCGTCAAGACCTGAATATAGCACAAAATCTAATTTAACATGATGCATGTGAGGCATAACTCAATGATGGTTCTATGCTATGACATGTCTTTTCTACTCGAGTCTCATGCCCCAATGCTAGCCTGCTTTGAGATCATTTATTATGATCCAGCTTGATGAGATAACTAACCCATTAACTAACCAATGGCCCAAGATGCTAAGTTCAATTTACGAGTACATCCATCAAACCATTATAAATGAATCATAGATCTATAAATTAATCATATGCTTTGCTCACTTTCAATGTGGACTAAACTGGGGCAGGAGTGCTAGCTGACAAGCCTTAAAACCACATAGTCAGTTCTGTGTGTTTGAAGTTGGACCAAAATTTTCAGGTTTGCTGACAGATTGGGTTTCAGAAAAATGGACAAGAACAAACTGAATCAAATAGTATATGAATGAATACAAGATATACGTCTATAACAGGTTTGTTATATTTTATACTTGCAAATGTATCACATTACACATTACATGTTTAGCAAAGATTTGAGTGAACATCTTTCGTTATCACTGCTTCCAATTATTGATATACTCTTATGTAGAGAAAGATCGCTCCATCAAGAAGCCCCCTTCACTTTAGTTTTGCTATTCTCCTATTACCACAACCCTTTAATGCAATAGCAATCAACAATATGGGCAGCTCAAACTCTCACACAACATGTTTATCAAAATATCTACTCATTCCCTTTGAAACTATTAGTTTCCTCCACCCACCATCATGCATCACTTTCATAACATTTTGACATAACATCAAAATACACGTTTTCCATTTACTTGTTCATTTGCGGCTATATGTCTAGAATGATCAATATTTTCATCTTTCTTCCATAACCTGACTTTGTTTTTAGGTAAACCACACCAAATTCTAAATAGTTTACTGGAATATTCTGCACTAAAATGTAGCAGACTACAAAAGGTTCTTTATCTAAGAGAGGTGATTGAGTGAGTGAAATATTCTTCTTTTTTTGGTGTCCAGTGATGCTACAGTATAGTGAAACTAATCTACATCTGGAAACAACCAACTATGAATGCCTAAACAACTTCAAGATAACAGTGTTTATACTTAAAATTCAGGTCATTGAAATAAGTAGACATGCCTCTGAATATCAGTATGAAAACTGAAGCTTCAACAGGATTTCTATATTACATTTTCATGTTATGTTGGATTTTCATGAACCTGAGGTACCATGGTAACTTTCCAAACAAAAAGATTTAAAGCCAAGTGGGGAGACTTTTATAAACTTGAGCACGTGGACTGTAAAAATTACCTGATACCCATTGCATCCTGAATTTGAATGGAACCCTTGTGAATGCAAATTTGAAGCTGGGGAACAGGCTGGTGATGCAACTACAAAAGAAGTTGGTCCATTAAGTGTTCCTTGACTACGACTGGGTGTCACGGGCATTGTTGATGCTCCAAAGGCACTTTGTTGCATAGATCCACTACTTTGACATCCTGAATGAGGATCATGTCCAACCATTGCGACAGAAGGATCAGGATGATGATATCTACAATTGGTAGAAAATTTACAATTCCCTGTACGCATGTAATATGGGCATTCCTTTGCTCCCTGCAATCATCAACACATGATATGAAACCGTAGGTGCCTGACACAGGCAAAGACTAAGAAAATTGACCACGATCATATTCAGTATGGTTACATAGAAGTCTGATACAAAGCAAAGAAAGAATCATAATGTATGAAAGTAAATAGCACGCTTACCAGTCTAATTGGAAGGCCTAAGAAGTTCAATTTTGATGGATTGCCTTCCATTTTCTTTTGAGAATGAACATATTTGCAGGATTTCCCATACTTACAACCTCCTGGCATTGTGTAAAACTGCAGAATTTATCATATATAACTTACATTGCATTCAAAAATGACTTCACAAAATCATGTTTGTGACATGTGCATATTTCTTACAGTTGTGTGTGAAATGATCAAAAATAGCTACGTAAAATACATGGAAATCTATAAATTACCTTGCATTCTATCTGTCCACCCTTTTCCAAAGTGGTTTCTTTACTCTTTTCCATAGCAACCTTTCATATGAAGATTCAGAAACAAAATAACAAAAAAATTTACAAGATATCAGAGGCCTGTAGCATTAAGTAAAACGAATAGTAATGTAAAAGTTCCTCTAGGTGGCACAAATCACCAATAACATCCTGTACTTATTGAAATAATGATTTACAGGATTGTTTCTTCTTTCACAATCTTGAGTGTTTTTCTCTTCTCTCATGCACTCTAATTGCGATGTAATTTCTAAACATAACTAAATGAAATGAGGATGATGCTATGAATGTGAAAGATCTAAAAAAAAAAAGGTCACAAGTAGGCAGGTCAATGTGGAAGAGAAAAGCTAGTATCTAAAAGTCATTCCGCAAAACCAAACTTAATTTGTTACATAAATAAAAAAAAATCTGAATTATAGCTTCCTGGACTTACCTTGTGTTCTATCAGGCCACCCTTTCCCAAAGTAGTTTCTTTACCCTCCTCTGTGCCAGCCTTTCATATGAAGATTTAGGAACAAAATAACAAGCAAATTTACACCATATAAGGTCCATGGCAGTAAGATAACATGATATTAATGCAAAAGTTCCTCTAAGCGGCTCAAATCACTGACAAGATGAGAATGATAATATGAACGTGGAAAATCCAAAAGAAAAAAAGACAAGTGGTTATGTCAATAATGAGGAGAAAAACAAATATCTAAAGGTTGGTCTACAATACAGAACTTTATCCAATGTATAAAGTATAAACAACACAACATCACAAACATAGGCTTTAAAATCACCTTGAATTCTGTCTGTTCACCCTTTTCTGAAGTGGTTTCTTTACCCTTTTCCCTAGCAGCCTTTCATATGAAGATTAAGAAACAGATAACAAGCAAATTTACACCATATCAGAGGCTTATAGCATTATATAAAATGACTGGTAATGCAAAGTTGCAAACGTTCCTCTGGGTAGCCCAAACCACCAACATCCTTTTTGATATAATGATTCATGTGATTGTTTCTTCTGTAACAGACTTTTAAGTTTTTTCTCTTCTCTCATGAAATCTATTTGTGCTGTAATTTTAAATGAAAACTAAATCAGATGAGAATGATAATATGAATATGGAAAATCCAAAAGAACAAGCAAAAAGTAGGTACGTTAATAGGGAAGAGGAAAGCTAATATCTACAAAACCGAGCTAAAT